GTGTTTGGTAAGGGAGCACTCCAGCAGTGTGGCAGCTGGGCACAGCCGGCAAAAGCTTCTTTCTGCAGTCAGGGCAGGAAGGTGTTTGGGGAGGTCCTGGAGATCAGCCTGTCTGCCAGTGGCTTTCACCTCCCGCACTTTGCACAGCCTCTGCTTCCATGTTGTCCATGCCCAGCTCTGGGCACAGAGGGGCTGGGGCAGGAACATCCCGACTGGGTCAGTTGACCTGAGCCCCACACGTGCTCCCATAATGGCCCTGGAACAACAGCGGCCAAAACGTGACTCCCCCTTGGATTTTTTAACACCCGCATAGCACTGGTGAAGGAAGGGAGGCCACCGCCAGGGAACATCTGGGCTCCATTGCTCATTGTCTGGCAATTAATGTCAGCGCTGAAGACAGAAGGGACGTCAGATATTAAATAAACATGACCGCACTCTGCAGACCAAACCAGTGCCCCTGGGGAAGGCACACATGCACCCACACCCACAGCTCCCCCTGCACAGTCCCAGCCAGGGCGCGGGACAGGCAGCTCGCCGCACACACGTGTGACACAGCCACACGCTCGCCTGCTCCCACACGTCTCGGGTTTCATGCCAGCAAAGGCAGAGTAGGGGAAAAAATAGAGCTCCTTTTCCATTTTGGTTTTCCAGGAGGCAGATTACATCTGCAAGTGTAGAAGCCACCGAAAACGCTACCCCATGAAACAGGTGGATGAACAGAAGGTGGTCAGAGACCCTTGGGGGCTGGGCTGGCTTGTATCCCCGATCCAAAGCTGCTGCCTGGAATCTCACCCCTAGGCTGGACACATACCTGCAGCAAGGAGCAGCCATGTGCTGTTCCCCATGGGAACACACCACACGGGGGCCATGCAGGCTGTGTCCTGCCTTTACCTGTGAACCCAGTCCCTCCTGCTGCCCCCACAGTCCCAGCACAGCCTGACATCCCTCAGGTTTCTGTGCATCCTGCCAGCCCAGCCAACGGGAATGGACAATCCCACCCTCCCTTCCACCAGGTTGTTAAAGGCTATGTTTCCCCCCTCTCCAACTTCGATGGACACCTAAAGGCTTTTCTCCCACCCTTTCCCGGCCTGTGCTTTGAGGAAGAGCAAGCATGAGAGTAGCTGGACCCTCAGAGAACAGGGAAGGCTGCCTGGCCACTGCATGGTGACAGACATATGCCACAGCACAGTTCTGGTGACTGTCAGCTCTGGGGTGAGAGAGCCCATGCACCTTTTAGTTCACAGGCCAGGGCAGCTATGCACCACAGCTGCCTGGTGCCAGGCAGAGGTGCCCAGTCCAGCTCACAGGGCATACTGGCCAGGCCCAGAGCAGGACCTGGGTGCAGGGGGAAAAGCGAAACACAGCATGCTGGTAGGTGCCCAGACTCATCCTGGGTGGTCTACCAACCCTCCTGACCTTAAACTTGTGGGTCCTGTAAAGGGCAATGTGGAAAGGCTTGGGCAGTGAAACGTGTCCTGTCACACAGGAGAGGAGCATGGTACCAGCCAAGGGCAGCACACAGGGCCTCCTGCTTCTGTGTGCAGCAGGGACTCATTAGCTCAGCGCTGGCTGTGCCTACTTTATTCTCTGGCAGCTTTTGTTCCCTTACAGAAATGTAGTTTCTCTCTCCCTCGCCCTTAGCCCCTTTTAATATTAAGGTCAATAGGTTGACGATTAAGCAGGAAAAGGGCACGAAGAATCAACCAAATTAAATCTTGTGTGCAAACAGGTGGGTGTGAAGTTTCAATCAATGGCTGGTTTTAGCAGGGACCCCTGGGATCACGATTTCCCAGGGGAAAACTGGGCAGCCTCGGGGGGATTTTGGTACAAAAACTCCAGACATGGGAGAATAGAAAAAAGTCTTCTCAAAAACCAATATTGACAAGGTCCCTGTGTTTGCACCCCAGCTTTCCCCGGCAGCACAAAGGGAGATGATTATCCCGGGTCCAGTGGGGAGGGGATGACGGGAGCACAAAGGTAAGCCACAACCCCCTCCGGCTCCCTTGGCCCCAGCTCCTCCACTTAATCCTTCTCTCGTCCAAGCTTTGAAGTCGCCAGAGGTCGAATATGGGATGTAAATCACGTTAGCCGCAGTGTGTGATCACAACGCCGCTGAGAGACAATGCCGTGCTTCCCCCGGTGCCCGGACATCCCGCCGAGCCGCGGCCGGCGCTGGGTTATAAACATCCCCAGGCTGCGGACGAGAGCGGGGATCGAGGGTGGGCTGCGGCAGGGGCACCTACGGCAGGCGGGAGAGATCCTTTTGCTCCTCTGGGAGCGGGACCCACAATGGGCACTGGCGCCCAGCGGCCATGGGGCTGTCGATAGCAGGAGGCGCGTCCCTGGGATTAATTAGCAAGGGCTGCGGCTGCGGAGCAATGTAAAACATGAGCCGTTCGCTGGGCGTTGGTTCCCGGGGCTGTCCCGCAGCGCTGCACATCTTGTAAGCATTAGCATCGCGTAAGGGGAGCCTGCACAGAAGGACCCGGGGTTTATTGGGCTGTAAACTGCGCTGTTCCCGTTAGAGTAACGACAATGCTGGTGAAGAAATATGCCTTTAGCACACGAGGCTTGGGAACCAGGTGTGCCGGAAGGAAACATAGCAGGGTTTCGAGGCTCTGCTGTCACCAGTGGGGTAATAGAGAGAGAAACAAAGCAGGCGTGGGAAGAAGCAGGAAGAGGCACCAAGGAGATGCTACCCTGTCCCCAGGGCTGCTGTGCCTTTCAGCCCTTTGCATTTATCTGCCCCAGACCCTGCCTGCCGGTGCTCAGTTCCCCTGCTCTCTGCTGTGGGGCTGCACACCCTGCCCTCCTCCTGGGAAGTTCAGACCCAGGGTGCAAGAGGTGACAGAGAGACAGCAAGTAACTGCTGGCGCCTTGGCTCTGGTTTGATGCCCTTTCCTCTGCCTTGCTCCAGCACTTCCTCTGCCTCCCACGGTACCTGAGAAGATGTGGCACAGGGGTTTTGCTGCCTGAAACAGAACAAGGGCACTGTCACCCGGAGGAGTAGCCCTGAGCACCAAGAGCTACCTTGTCCTATGGAAAAATCACCTATGTTTAATTTTCCTTTAGCCAAGGAAGCAGCCTCCAAAAAAATAGTGACAGTGGACCCTAACAATTAACCCATTTCCTATTTTCCCCACTACCAAAAATGCATCCATTCCCTGCAGGTAGCAAGTTGGCTGTTTAAAGTCTTTTTTCACCATTTCACACCCAAACCAGGACTGTTTGTCCAAGACCAGCACAGATCTGGATGAAATGCATTTCAGGCATGTCCCCATTAGTCTGGCTCCAAATGCCCCTGATTTCTCCCTGGAGCTGCCACCTGTTTTGGTGACCCTGGCAGATTTTGCCAAGTGGGTGCCTGGTGGGAAACACATGACTTGTCATCCTCCCCACATGGTTACGAGTGATGGAGAGAGTGATGCGTGATGTCAGGGAACTGAACCCCATGGCATCAAACCTCTGCACATACCTGCTAACAGGCACCAGGCAGAAGTACCAACCGAGCTCACCCCTGGCCCCTGGGCTCCCCTCCACTGCCCTGCAGCTGGAGGGATTGCTCCATTGCTGCTCTCTGCTGCAGTGCCCAAACACAGGACCCTGGCAGTCAGAAAATATCTGTTTTCAAAGCCCTTTTCCTTTCTTCTTAACTGGGAGACCAGATGAATTTTTTTTTTTTTTAAACAAAAATATGTTGTTATTGTGGAAAATATCTGCTTTCCACAAAAAATGTCTTGCATTCACTGTACACATTGTGGACCATACCAGAAAACATCTGATGTGCTTCCAAAACCGCCAGGGTATTTCTTTTCTTACTAGAGTGGAAATTTTCTTCAGGAAACAAGTTTTACCTAGTTTGCACCGACACTGGCTGCAACAGAAAGCAAGCAGCCTTGTCCCCATGTCACCCCTCCATCTCCAGGAGGTGGCACTGTGGCATGACCAGGCACCCAAACCTGAAGCACAAACCCTGGCACTGGCCCAAGATTTGGCCCAAGTCCCAATTACCAACACCCACCCAAGCCAGCCCAAAGGGCAACCATAGCTTTTGGGGGCAATATGATACCTGTTTGAGAAACAGAGAGAAAACCATTTTATTTTAGTCCTATCAACAGCTCCCTGGTGCCATGTGAGAGCCAAGGGGAGCATAATGTGCCCACCCTACTGGGCACTTATGGAAGATGCCTTTTTCTGTCCCACCGCATGACCCGCCCCATACTGCAGCACTCCTGTTTGGTCAAAATCATAAGAAAGGTCTGAAATTTAATGTGGAATAGGAATGTTAGACTATTAGACCTGGAAAAGTGACCTGACTTTATCACCATATCTTCTGCCCATATTGCTGGTATTTCACAGTGTGAAGTACCAAGAATGCCCAAGACAAACATGTGTTTAACATTAGTCAGTATGGCTGTACAGCATCAACATGAATTGAAAGTTTATCAAGCAAAGTCACAACTAAACATTGCCATTTCAGTTTTAAAGACATCCATGTCTTTAAAATTCATCTGTGATTAACACAGATCTTAGGATGGTGATTACATAATTGGTTTTCCCATTGTGTCTGTAACACAAGGGAGGATGCACTTGAGGATGACTGTTATGGTCCCTCCAGAACAGCTCCAGCTGGATCTGAGTCTGACAGCTCAGGACCTAAACTCTGACTGCACCCTTACCAGTTGGAGACTATTCCTTAGCTCTGTTTCCCTCAGCAAATCTTCTGGGCACATACCTTGTTCACCAACCACTCCTCACCAAGTGTTTTTAAGTTCAAACCCCTGGCTCTCCTGGCACACTGGAGAGCTGGATGGCTCATTAGGGAAGGGTTGGCTTCTCCAGCGACAAACCCTGGGAAGAAGCTGCAGTGCCATGTGACACAGCCAGCCGGGACACAAACATCTTCTCAATTTCTCTTTTTGTCTTTTTTTCAAACAGATTTCTGAGAAAACATCTGCTGTGCCCCAAGCCTGCACCAGAGCTGAAGATCAAAATAAAGGACTTTTGTCTTTTTATTAAGCATTTTAGCAAACGTGACTATTACATTCATGTTATATTTCCCTGTTTTGTACAAACATGTTTAAGTCAGCACTAAGAGGATTACGTTTATGGCACACCAATCTCTGCTCAAATGGGTTGACTAAAGAAACTCTTGTTAAACAGTATTTTCTCTAATGCCTGTTGCTTTTCTTCCTTGCTTTAGTGCTCAGACATCCATCCAGGCTCCCTAAATCCACCCTCTCCATAAGCTTTCAGATCAAGACTCTTCGCCCCACTGCCCCCCTCCACACTCTTTAATACAGCTGAAGATGAACATTAGCACTTGGTTCAACTGCACTGGAAAGGGAAAGGGCAGATTCATCAAAATCTTTATACCTCCATAGAAAAATGTAGCCTTTTGCCTTTCCTCGAGTGAATGTCTTTTCTAGAGGGTATTCATTAGGGGTTTGGTCTGTTTTTGCAGACAGCTCCACAGATGTTGACATTTTTTTTCTTCGCTGGGTTAAGACAGCTCTATAGGCTTTCAGTCTTCATTTGTTACTTCTTTATTATCCAAGAGGGGTTTTTCTTTTTTTTTTTTTCCTTCTTTTTTTTTGTTTCTTCCCAAGGAGTTGACTCGATTCTCTGAAGAGAGCAGTGGTAGTCAGGCTCATTATTATCTCAGACCCTTTTTCATCGGCCCAGCAGGCCAGCCGGGGACGTGGGGCCATTGTGGCAGAGCAGCAGGTAGCTGTGGCATGGCGGGGTCAGTGCTCCGGCCAGCGCAGCGCCTTTGCGCGCCCGCCTCGTGCTGCTGGCTCCATTTGTCCGGCGGTGGGAAAGGTCAGGAGCTTGCTGCTGCTCTGTACCTGAGTTTTTGTCTCCAGCCACTGCTGGGAGCTTATGTAAATAATTCACTGGAAAGCAATCGTTGGACCTGGGAGGCGGGCAGAGTGAAGGGGTGGAGATGTGCTGGCAGGGATGAGGGTAGTACCAGAGCTACCTGGTCCCTCAAACACACTGCGTCTTGGCCAGACATGGGGACTGGCAAAGGCATCACAATTCCAGTTGGTGCTTCAGGACCTGCCGTAGCAGAAACCAGAGGTAAGGACTCCAGCCTATTCACAGCAGGGCTGATTGTGTCACTGTGGGCCATGCGTTATCTTAGGGAATGTGCTCCTCCAGGGAGTCCTCACGATTCCCACACTTCCTGTGGAAAGCATGGAGCTCCCCAGCCATGCTCCCAGCATGAGCTGTTGTTGGGGACAGGTGGAGGTGACAGGTATCTTTATCCTACCACGCAGGAGAGCTCCAACATTCCACTGGCAGGAATTTGTCTGCAAATTTTCCCCTACTGAAAGGAGGGAGGGGGCTGATATGATCACTTGGTTATGACTGGCGCAGGAAAGCCATGCTCCCAGTCCTTAACCTCTCCTCCACAGTCTGATAATTTAGTGCCTTAGTGGGGCATGTTGCCTCCAGCTGTGGGGCAGAGGGTGGGCATTAAGGATGATGTGATCCCAATTAGCAGTCGCTGTCTAAAAGACACCAGTTGTGGCTGAGAAGGAAGGTGCCTGGCCAGCAGGCATGGCTCCCTCTTGCCCTCGCAGCACTGCAGGACTGATGCTGGGTGCCCATAATGGGTGCCCAAGTGCTTCCTAGCCACCCTTGCCCAGCCAAAGGTGAAGCAGAAGAGGAACAGCCCCCCTGGCCAGCTGTACCCCCATATCCCAGCCTAGTACACTAAGCTCACTGACAGGAGTCCACATGAGAATATTGATGTGGACACCAAAATCCATCATGCTCAGCCCCCACCAGTATGCTAAAAGCTCTTGCCATTTCCTCTTTTATCACAGCTTTAGCAGGAGAGCTCCCATTAGCTTTATACATCATCCCTGGGGAAATAGTGCTGATAGATGTGTGTGTGGAAGGCACCAAACAGAAACAGAGACTATACCACAAGTGGAGACAGATCTACAAAGAATAGAATGAAGATGAAGTTTAAAACTATGGACTTACACACTGGAATGGACATCTGTGAACAGACCTTTGAACCTGCTTGACATGGACAATGTTGTTTCACCCCCATTAGTAATGTTAATGCATGTTAAAACCATTGTACCCCAGTTGTAAATTCATATTTTATTCCCTTATAAGTTTTCCCTCATGAACTCTCCTCCCTGATTGGTTGTTCAGTCCCCTGTTATGATTGGTGAGATTTTGCCGCAGTAAGGCGGTCTCACCACACCCCCCAGATCATCCTATAGGTTAAAAGTTAATGTATTCCCTCTGTTACTCCCTTATTGGTTCTCCCCTTATGTCAATCACATACTCCTCCCAGTTTCTAGACCCTTCCTTCCTTAACCCTATATAAGTCCTGTTCGCCCTTTGTTCTGAGCAGCACCTTCGCGGCTCAGCGCCAGGAAGCGCCCTCACGCCTCCTGTACCATCAATAAACCTGCTGCAGACTGCGAACCCCCTTAGTGCTGTCAGTCCTTTCCCACTCGGGCTGCGGCATGTGTGAGATCAGGCAGGTGGATTTTCTTTTCATCACGTATGCTGGAAGATCTTTCCACTGCTAAAAGCAAGAGGAGACTGAGCCAGCTCAGAGAAGAGTGCTATTGATTCACCCGGAGGGTCATGGCTGGATTTCAGGCCCCTTGCTTTCTGCTGGTGCCTGGATGCTGCCTGGCCCAGCAGATAGAGCAGGATCTGGTCCAGAACAGCACTGACTCAGAAGGACTTTCCTTTGGGCTGGACTCCCCATTTCCCCTTGCATGGACATGGTCCTCTCCCAGTGCAGCATTTCACCCCAGCAAATTCCCAGAACAACCATGGGCTGAAAGTGGCTTTGCTATACCAGAGGAGAGACGGCATCCCTGGCTGTGCCTGCCCTTTCTCACTCCAGTGTGTTTGTGCCAGCTGTTGCTCCCCCCGAGCACACCAAGCTGGTGCTCACACACACCCACCCGCATCAGGGATGTAAAGGAGCCCTGGGCATGGGATCCACAGCAGCTTTTGCATGAACATTGTGAGTGCTGAGGTTTTATAACCCAGAAAATCTGGGCTCTGAAGAGCTCTATCTGGCAGGGTGGGAGGCGTGCCGCCCTGCCCAGAGCCACTTTTATGCCATTGTGCCTTTTCAGCATTGCATTAAAGCAATCAAAGAGGGGGATTTTTAATGGTTCCAGGGGAACAAAGCGGAAACAGTCGGCCCAACTTCATTACAGAATCATCTGAAACGCTTGAGGAACGTTTCCCACTAATTATCATAAATAGCCGAAAAAAATCTTTCCCTCCCAAAGCAGGTTCCAGCTGCCCCTCTATGTTTTCTCACCTCTACTTCCAATAGCCTGACCCTGCCCCCGCACAAAGAGGAGACCCCATCTCTGCTCCCCCCCACACTCAGAGACTCTAAAGAAATACAAACAGGCAGCAGATTAACAGCACTTGTTTGCACCTTAAATAAACAGAGACTTCCGCCTCTCTGGGCTCTCCCACTGCTCAAGGGTGGATGCACTGGCTTGTTTTTCTTGCCCTCACCCTCATGCTCTGCCCAAAACCTGGATAAAAGCCTGGGCAGCCCAAGCTGCCCACAGCACGCAAAGCAGCCAGCCCCCAGTCCTTCCATGCTACTCAAACCACACTAGCAGCCATTGAGACACTGCTCTCAGCACAACTCTGCATGTGTTCGGGACAGGCACATGAGGCAGGCACCCCATGAGGAAGTCATGGCAGCATGGCCACAAGTTGGGACAGGTTCCCATCATAAGCCAGCGGTGAAACTTGTCTGCCAAAAGCCCAGGCTTGCTGCTCACCCAGGTTATTGTGCAAATCCCCTCATGCAGGTGTTCATTGCCCCACTTCCCACCACAATAAAGGGCTCTTTCTCAGAAACCCCTTTCTTGCCCATGGGGTGCCCCAGGAGCAGGAAGGGTAACAGAGGCAGGTGGAAGGAACACACCCACAGCGTGGGGGGCTCCCAGCAGGGCTGACAGGCAGAGGGGTTACAGGCTGGCACTGCAGCATGAGTGACAGAGCTGTGGGAACCACTTCTCACCTGCACAGGGCAGGAAGAGAGCCAGTGGCAGCTCTGAAACTTCCAGGCCGTGCTGGAGACCCCTGATCCCAGCACCACTCTAGGACACACATGCATGGTGTCCTGCCTCTGCTTCTAACTTTGGTCACCTGAGGTGAGCTACAAGGACCTCGGGCAATCACAGCAACCAGGAAGAGATGTACAGTGTCACAAGCAGCCTACCTGTGAGCCAGCTGCAACAGCCAGACCTCGGGAACATGGGCGGCTATATTTTCATTACAAATTAGAAATCAATCATAGCAGGAAATTTCCATGCTGAGAACACCCTTGGCTGTCATTATTTTACAGCACTCAGAGGTGTTCTGGGCACTTAGAAAGACACGGCCCTTTCAGGGTATTATGGGGCAAATTAAAGGCAGCTGTAGGAATGTTGGCCATTTGGTTTCTGGAGCCGGATGGGCACAGGTGGAGGCTGCAAGGCTTTGTGCTGCCTTCAGATACACCACTGCTCTGCAAGGAGGGAACCAGCCCGCTCCAGAGAGAATACCTCAAGCCCAACCCCAGCTTTATTAACAACAAGTAATTAATATGAGAGCGGACGTGCCTTGTGTCTCTGAAGACCTTTTAAGATGTGATTATGTTGTGCTAATCTCACCCCGAAGTACTTCCCTGTTTAGACTGCGCTGGGCCATTAAATATCCAAAAAGCCAGCGGAGAACCCCTCTCATTACCCCGGAAAGTGCTCGGGGTCTGTTCCCCGGCAGCCAGGCCCCACTTTCAAACCCTCTAAATCAAGTATTAAGCCAAGTCCATCTGGACTGCCAGAAAAAAACACTCCCTCTCCCTCATCTGTATCTCATTACCTGTCGTGCCAGCCCCGGCCCCGAAGCCGCTTACTCCATCCCGCCCAGATGTGCTGCCCCACACTCACCTCCTGTATTTCACAGCCGTCAGCAGGACTTCAAGGAATAGCCCAAGGGCCTGTAACACTGCACAGGCTCTTAGCGAAGACATATATCCAGGTCCCTAATGCATAGCTGCAGGCACATACCCTAACACAAAGCCCCTTTTCCCCTTCCCTGGTCTCACGCCAGGCAAGAGAATCGGGCTCAGGGAACTGAGCACTAGGCTTAGGGCTTGCTGGTCAGGAGACTTTTGAGCTGCTTTCCTGTTTTTCCTTGCAAAACACATGTCCAGACTATATATTTTCAGGGATTCTCCCCTTGAGACCCCCCAAAGTCAGGCAGCCCCACAACAGGGGAAGAACATCCAAAGGCAGAACAGGACAGAGCAGGTGCTGGTGGCAAAGGCAAGGAATTGAAGACAGACACCTGCAACTCTCTAGAAACTGGAGTGATTAAATTTGGGAGCAGCTTACCTTGCACAGGGCAAAGTCAACACAGCCTAGAGCCAAAAAGCTACCCAGAAACCCAAATCAGGGAACAACCCCTGTGTTCATTGGCTCAAATTCTGGACTAAAGCTTCCCAGGGAAGGTTTCAGCACTTTCTGCAATGGCAGAAACCACACTTTTGTTGAAGTCTGGCACTTGCCTAGGCCTGGCAGGAGCCCAGGACAGTGGAGGTGAAGGCACACGTCAGCTCTTCAGTGGTGAGGAGCATTAGCCCCTTCCTCCCAAGCTTCCCAAGAGCCGGTGCTTGGCCTGAAGCAGGGGCTCAGCATCAGATGAGGTCATGGTAGAGAAGAATATGGCTGGCCATGCTGAAACATCACTCTACCAGAGGGGTCAGGGCAAGCAGCATTCTCAAGAGGTTTTTGAGGAACATGAGGTTTAAGAGGGGGAAGAAAAGCATATCTGTTGTCTCACTGTGCTGCTGCCGCCTGTGGAGGGAGCCCTGGTCCTACACCAGTCCCCAGTGGCTGGCACTGACTGGGGACCCCACGCTCCAGGAAGCAACAGGAAAACCCCCCAGCAGGTCATGGCAAGAAAAACGGGATGAAAATAATCTTCTTGTCAGCCCGGAGGTGCAGGAGGGGCTTTAATATCAAGGAAGAGGAAAAAGAACAGAAGAGGGGAAGAGGTCTGTGTATGATGGGCGTACAGGCACTGACACATCCCATAACGTGGCACGGGGAAGAAGACACGGCACGGGGCAGGAAGCCTTGGCATGTCCTTCCCCGAGGACTGCAGGTACCTTCCAGGGTTGGCGAGGAGATTTGGGCTGGGGCTTCTGACCCTGCGAGCAAGAGTGGCTGTGTCCGCGGTGCGGCGGATCCTGGCCGGTGTGTGCAGGGGCTCCGGGATTTCGGTGGCCGCAGGAAGGCAGTGTCGTGATGCCATCTAGTGTCGCTTGACAGAAGGACCGTCAGGTAGGGACACCGCATATTGGCTTCCAGGTTCCGAGCATCGCCGGCGGTCAGCTGGAAGGCATCCCAAAACGGCCTGGTTACTGGGACCCCCACCCTGGAAACGGCCTGACTTCTAGGACCTCACCCTGGGGACGGTCTGGGTTCCGGGACCCCCACCCTGGGGACGGTCTGGATACCTGGTCCCCAGCCCCAGGGATATGCGCACCCTGCAGCCAGCACGGCTGCAGATCCCAAAGGAGGACAACGAGCACAGCCAAGGTCACACAGGGGCAGCGAAGCTCAAAGTGGTACCTGGGCTGGCTCGGGGGTCCCCGGATCACCCAGGAACTGAAGGCTCAGCAGCCTCACAGGAGGCCCGGGGCAGTGTCGGGTGTCCTGGTGAAGGAGGTGGGCAAGCATCCCCCACAGCGGCATGCAGGCTGCCTGCAGCGCCAGCGCGGCCAGCCCCAGGGCCAGGGACAGTCGGCACTGCCGTGGACTGGCTCGCAGGGACCAGCCCCAGGCACGATGACCGCTGGGGGCCAGGGGAGGGGAGGCCGGGCAGGGGCTCGTGTGGTCTGGCTGCAGGGGGATGGGAGGTGCTGGGAGAAGGACAGTGCCTGCCGGGGCAGCAGCATGCTGGGGGGCACTGGGGGTGGGCCTGGTGCCAGCTGGGGATGAGTCCCATGTGGTGGTGTGGTCCTGCTCCCTGCCTGGTGCAGGAGCATGGTGGGATGGGGAGTGTGAGGCCAGTGGGACCGTGCCCTGCGCAGCAGTCCTAGGGGATGGCCAGAGTTCCATGGAGGGGGCTGAGGTAAGGGAGGTTATGGGTGTTCCCTGTGGGATGGTGGCTGGGCTCTCCCTGGGCACTGAAAGAGCATCAGGCACTTGTCTGGTGGTGGTTGCCAGTGGTCTGGTGGGCATCAGAACAGGAAGCACATGTCTGGTGGTGGCTGCCGGTGGGTTGGTTGGCACCTGTGTGGTGGCAGAAGCTAGAGTGGATGGCACAGGTTCTGGGTGGGTGGCCCCAGGAGACTGTAGACTTATGATGGTTGACATTGGCACAGCTGGTGATGGGCTGGTGATGAAAGCCTTGAGCATCACAGTTGATGATGATGGTGTGGCAATGGAGGCTGTTGGCAGCACAGTTGGTGGTGTGTTGATGAAGGTCTCTGGCAGCGCAGCTGGTAATGGGGTGGTGATGGAGGCCTTTGGCACCATGGTTGTTGACGGTGTAGTGATGAAGGATTTGGCCACATTGGTTGTTGATGGGCTGTTGCTGAAGGCCTTCTGCAGCACAGCGGATGGTGGGGTGGTGACAAAGGCCTTAGATGGCACGGTAGGCAATGGAGTGGTGAAGGTGTCCTCCTTTGGCACAGTTGGCAACATGGCAGAGGTGCCCACAGGTGACAGAACAGTTGTCAGTGTCCTGATGGGAAAGGCTGCCAATGACAGCAAGGTTGGCGTTGCTGTGGACAAACCTCCAAGTGATGGCAAAGTTGACATCCTTTGTGATGATGTGGAGTTAAATGGCAGAGAGGGGGTAAAAGAAGCTGAAAGAGGCAGAGTAGCTGGGCAGATTAAGTGGTCATCCCTCAGCAATGTTACTGCTTGCCCTGCCAGGTGGGGTGGGCTCTTGCATGAGACTTGGGTGGACAATTTGACCTTCTCACTGTTACCCAGGATCCAGCTGTGCAGGGAGCAGAGGTTGCAGTCACATCTCCATGGATTACCACTCAGATACACTGAGCTGAGCTTCTTCAGGGGGTCCAGGAGCCCTCGGGGAACCCTCTCCAGCTGGTTCTTTCGAAGGTTGAGGGTTTTCAGATATGGGAGAGAAGCAAAGACCTCTTCATCCAGAGCAGAGAGCTGATTTGTGTCCAGCTGGAGATCCAGGAGCTTACTGAGCCCAATGAAAGCTCCCCTTGGCAGGGCTAACAGCTGGTTGTGGGACAAGACGAGTTTTCCAAGGGATGTAAGGTTGACAAAGATGCCACCTGGAAGTGTGGCCAAACTGTTCCTGCCCAGGTCCAGCTCCTGTAAGTGTGGCATGGTGTCAAAAAGGCAGCAGGAGAGCTCCATGATATGGTTTGAACCCAGAGTCAGCAGCTTCAATTTGTTTAAACCAAAAAAGCCCTGAGGTGGGAGAACCCTGATAAGATTGTTGTCCAAGAGGAGTTTCTCCAGGTGAGGCAGGCTTCTGAGGAACATGGATGGCAGCACCCTGAGCCTGTTGCTCTGGAGGCTGAGCTCCAGCAGCTCCAGCTGACTGTCCAACAGTCCCTCTGGGAGGTCTTGCAACTCATTCTCATACAGCCAGAGGACTTGCAGCCGGGTAAGTTTGCTAAAGGCATTCACAGGAAGAGTTGTGATCCTGTTCCTAGACAGGTCCAAAAAGGTTAAATTGACGAGAGAATCAAAAATGCCTTCTGGAAGAGAAGGGATTGCATTGATGTGCAGGGAGAGTTCTCCCAAATTTTCCAGCCCATCAAACAGGCCTTTGGGGATGTATCTGAGTTGGCTGTCTCTCAACTCCAGCCTCTTTAAGCTTGGGAGGTTTTGGAAAGTGCCCACAGATAGCGCTTCTAACGAGGCACCAGAGATATCCAAGTCCCTCAGCTTGTCCAGATTATCAAAGGCTCCAGGTTCAACTGTCTTGATCTTGTTGCCAATAAACAAAATATTTATCAGGTTGGGCATGTACCTGAAGGCACCTTCCCTTATAGCAGTGATGCTGGTTTGCACAAAGATCATTTCAGAAATGAAGGGCTTTGCAACCTTTGGGATCTCTTTGACATCATTTTTTGTCCCTCTGTAGACCTGCTGATAGTCTTTGGGAATTTCATATGGATTTTCACCCAGGATCTGATCTTGGCATTTATGGTGATGGAAGGAGAGGAAGAAAAGGAAAAGGAAATGCTGGTACATTGTCCTAAAAAAAAAAAAAAAAAGGTTTAAAAAAATTCAGTTATGAACAACAGAGAACCTCTGTCCACAGTCACGAATTCAGGACTCTTCTACTCACATCTCATAACTCATTCAATAAGAAAGAGAAATACCATACAAGCAAACACACACTGCATTTAGATGAGTTCACTGCTGTGGGTACAGAGGGATGGAGAGGGAGAGCGAGCCAGCTCATGGCTTGGCACTGGGAGATGCTCCAGGGGAATAAGGGCTGGACAGGGTCTTCTCTGCCCTCCTTTTCCCATGTTTCAGCTGTAGGCTCAGTGTCTGCCTGGGCTTAGAAGGCAAAGTGCTGCTGCCCGTTAATGCTGCCCCAGTGGGTCCAGTTAGTCATGTAATAAATTAGTAGTAGTAGTTTAAATTTACTCATCAAATTAGTAGTAGTAGTTTACTCATTCAATTGTATTGCATGTTATATTCTTATATACATATATATGTTATTATAATTAATATTCTGTTAAGGTTGGGAGACTGTAAATTGCAGAATGGTTCATTAATCTGTCAGCATTGTAAACTGATAGTCATGCAGCTTGCAGTTCTTAAGCTGGAAAGACAACTTATTGTGCCTTACTGAAATAAGTATTTTGTATCTTATTTTTATAAAAAGGTTATTCTCTCATAGCAAGCATAAAGTAACGAAGGGAAGGACAAGGATCGAAGAGTCAAGAACGAGAATGATACAGAGTATCCAAGATGGACATCAGGAGATACCTACACACTAAGCTACACACTGGACCTCAAGGACTAAGGACTAATTAAAACTATGGAAAGGAAAGCACCTGGCAACTGAAACGGGCCTGCAGGGAAGCTTACTGCGCTTGCGTGCTGTGAGTGGAGCAGGGGCCTCCCTGGCCGCCCAGCGCGCTGTTTTGCTTATTTGCATTTTACATAAATCTTCAATAAATTTTATTACTATATTTCAGCCTAATTTCATTTACTTATAACAGTCAACAGGGCAACAGCCCATTCATGCCACAACAGGAGCAGTCAGCCCTGCACTTGCTAATGAGGGATCAACAAGGGTCCCAGGAGCCAGCAAAGACCAGAGGGTCTTGTGTACTCAGAATTTCCACACTATGCTAGGTGGGCTTGCTATTTCCTTGCTGCTTCTCTCAGTTCGGGGGGATCATTTAAAGCATGGCTCCTAACCATCTCCTTTTCAGGCTTCTTGGTAATTGCACCATATTTTGGCCTTGGTTATGCAGCTCTGTCAGACAGAAATGGTTAACTTGTGAGCAGCCACCAAGCTTTAGACCAAGGCTTCTTAAAACACCATGAAATGTCCATGGATGAACTCTTTAATACCTAACATTTATGGCTCTGGCCTTGCAGTTAGAAAGTGAAGTGACTGATGCACACTCACTAGTAGAGCCTACCACTTCCACAGAAACATTTGGAAACCTGTAGCTAACACATTAGCTGGGGTTTAACGACAGTGAGCATTGCACTGGGATTTCCAGCTTTTGATTCACAGCTCTGGGTGGGAGCAGGGAAAAGAGCTTCTTGGTGTCTGTCAAAGCTGACATCCAGAACACTTACGTTGGGAGGGTACAATAGCTATGAGAAGTTATTTTTTTAAAATGTTGAGAGGTCAGCAAATACAGGAGGCTAAAAACCACTGGGTTTGAAGAGAAACTGATGGGAGGTGGTGACATTGGTTGTGCAGGCTGCCCTCCAGGGTTGCCAGGGCAGAAGCCACTGCTAGTCCCTGCCCTCAGGGAGACTCAGGTGGAGGTCTGCAGATGTAAAACTGTCTGCTTCACTTCAGCTGCAGGAGTAGCACAGTGGGTGAAATGTGTAGGGTGAAACAGCTGGGTGCACGGGGATGAAAACAGACAGTTCTGAACTGTAAAGCTCTTTCAAAACCCTCAGTGTGATCCCTTGTTTGTCCCAACCCCCAGCAGTGCAAGGTCATGAAGGGGCATCCCCACCCAGCTCATGGCACTGCAACCTCTCCTGCTTCTTGCTGCAAGGAAATAATCAACAGCCTCCCATAGGGCCCCTCCCAGCACATTTTAAAGAGCAAAAAAAGCTTATGCTTCACTTACTTGGCCAAGCGCTCACAGACAAGTCCAGGCTGCAGGAACAAACCGTGCCATGTATGGAGTGAGGACACCGAATGGGGTCCCATCACCTGGCCAGCTCTTTATCCGCAGCCCAGGCCCAGGGCCTGGTTTCACGTGAGGTCAGGGCACAGGTCTGTGTGGGGAGATAAGGGACGTCAGGGGAGGCGGTAGCGGAGCTGTGCCCCAGTGTGGGAGGCCATAGCAGAAACCCCTCGGAGAGGACTCAGTCACGTACTCCCCAGGCGTTATCTCCTGGTGCCGCTTGACGGGTCACATCCAAGCAAACCTGAAGATTTCCACGCCAACTTGTTTTGCAGCCAACGGTCTCTGCAGTCCCATATCTCCAGCAGCGTAACCCCCAGTTTCATAGGTACCACCCCCACCGACACAACAGTAAGCTGTTTCCTTCCTCAGCATTCAGCTTATGTAGCTAAAGGTGCAGTTCTGAAGCCATTTGTTTAAGCTCATAACAGTGATAACATCTGTGGCTGGACAGATATGCCGACGCCCACGGTCTGTGCTCAGCCCCACAGCTCCACACCAGAGGGCTAGGGCGGCATGTCCTGTCCTGCACCCTAACACAGGCAAAAGACCCTCCTGCAGGGACACCCAGGGCTGCTGGCTAGTGCAGGGCATCCTGTGGGAAGAAACAATCTTTTTGATGCAAAGACTTGAACTGACAGGATATCCATCAATTCCCAACAGGTAATTGCACTGATTGCATATAAACATGTTTTCTTTAGCTTTCACCTGCATTTAATAAGGCTCAGCTTGTGCTTGCTGGACTTCATTGCACCTTTCTTGGCAAATTCAAAAACAAACCACTGCACATTTTCAACAGCTTCACTCCTTTCCAACATCAGTGCCGTATGTATCCCAGTACCCACTTGGTGCCAGGCTGTTCCAGAAGCTGCAGAGTAGCAGGAGCTGAAGCGCATAAGGGGACAGAGCTCACAGCAGGATTGCCAACAGCCACCCCAGGCCACAGTGTGGCAGCTGTGCCAGGGTTTGGGGAACTGCATCCAGCTGCAGCACCCTTGGTCCAAGCTTGGAGGTGGCCATCTCCTGGGAGATGTCTGAATCACAGTGGCAGTCCCCCATTTGGGAGAGACAGCAGGATGACTGTGCAGAATTGTGTCTGGGAAGCAGTGTTGCCCATCTGCATTGCTCCCAGGAGCATGGGGCTGGCAGTCATAGAACCATGTAGGTTGGAAAAGACCTCTAAGATCACCAACTGTTAGCCCAGCACTGACAAGTCCACCACTAAAACATGTCCCTACATGCCACATACACACATTTCTTTAATCAAGAGGCTAAAGCAAGGCTGGAATCACAGCCCACTGCCAGGGCAGGTGGGGCCAACGTGGCACAGAGATCCTGCCCATCCCAGGTGGGCAGCAGCAGAGGCTCCAAGGACACACAGTCCAGCAGTGGAACCAGCGCAGCTCCAGCCAAGGCCCCCTGTACCCTCGCCGCTGGGGCGGGGCCGGGCCGGGAGGGGCGCTCCGAGGAGGGCGGCAGGGCTCAGGAAGGAATCCCCCGGCGCTGCCCGGCCCGCGGAGCCCTGTCCCTGTCGCCGCGAGATGGAGCCGCAGCACCGCTCCACCCACACGCACAGACACACATGCACTTACACCCCCGTGTGTGCACCCACGCCCGCTCGTCCCGCGGGAGCACCCACCTTACCTGGCATCCCCTACGTGGGCAGCACTGCTGGGACTTTGTGCCTCCTCTCCACGGGTCACAGAATCAGCATCACAGGATAGCTGAGGAAGGGGCCACTGAAAGTCATCTAATCCAACCTCTGCTGCTGAAGTTCTGTGGGGTTCATTACTCAAGGCTTTGTTCAGGTGGCTTTTGAGTATCTTCAGAGAAGGAGACTCTACAGCCTTGCTGGGCAACCTCTTCCAGTCACCCTCACAGTAAAGTTCTTCCTCTTCAGGTGGAATTTCCTGCATTCCAGCTCCAGGCTGCAGGGTTGTGGACCAAGGCCTGGCAGGGTATGGGGGGAACCAGCCGGTGGACACCTGGGCTGGAGCTCACCCTGTAGCCAGGCAGCCCATGTCCCTTGCTGGGTAGTCAGTAGCACTCACCCATGTGTCCCTTGGACACCCCAAAAGCATGCCCTGAGAGTTATTGCCAGGCTGCAGCTGGGTCTCTGCAGTGCCAAGGGAAGCAGGGCAGGAGGTGGGGCTGGTGGGCTGCAGTACTGTGAGCATGCCAAAGAGCCACCTACTCACCACCACGCACCTGCAGCCACACCACACCGTGCACAGCCCCAGACTACACCCAACAGATCACATTAACCTTCACCACCTCTCCCAGATACACAGGCAGATGTGGGGGAACAGAACCATTCCTCTCTCTGCCATGGGAACTGGTTGCACAGAAATGATATATACATTTTAATTATATTTGAAATATACAGGAAACACATAGCTTGGAGAATAAGTACCACCAGGCCAGCTGCTGTGGAGAGCTCAGTGATGGCTGGTGACCAAGGCAGCAGTAGCAGAGCAAAAGTGGGTGCTGTTTCCCAGGCTGGCTCAGAGGTTTCCAGTGCAGAAGCTGGCACCTGCCCAAGCTCTAGGGCATGGCAGGGAGACCTGGCGATGTGGCCTCATTCCCGTTCTGTGCCGTGACAAGGACACTGACCTGCAGTGTGCCACAGTGGGAGTGCAGCACCCAGGCACCCTGGTACGCGGGCCTCAACCCCTGCACTTGCTCGGGAGGAGGAGGAAGGTGAAGGCTGAGCTGCTGGCAGCTTGTGGCATTACAAACCATGCTTACAGTGCCCTCGGGGTTGCTGTAGGTGCACTGTCCTGGAGCATCCCTGTTCCAGCCTTTCTCTGCGGGGCCACCAGGTCCTCCCAGGCACTCCAGCTGCCCCCGGGGGACCTCCAGCAGGGACTGTCCCTGGAGAGCAGCTGGACTGGCACAGAAGGCTTGCCCATGGATGAGGGGCTCAGCAAAGCCCTGGAGCCAGCGCAGGAGATAGGCAAGGTGGCAGTCACAGTTCCAGGGATTGTAAGACAGCCCCACACGCACCAGCTCATCATTGGCATCGAAGAGCCCCAGGGGCAGGTGGGCCAGGTGATTGTGGTCCAGTGCCAGGGCAGTGAGGAGCGGCAGCCCAGCCAGGAGCCCTGCTGGCAGGCTGGAGAGGTTGTTGTGGCTCAGCTGTAGTGCTGTCAGTGCTGCCAGTCCCTGGAAAACATCAGTGGGCAGGTGGCCCATGGCATTGTGTGAGAGCACCAGGGTCTGCAGCAGCGACAGGTTCGAGAAGAGCTCCTGGGGCAGTGTCTCCAGCTGATTGCGAGCCAGTGAGAGGTGGAGGAGGCCGGGTGTGCCAGTGAAGAGGGTGGCAGGCAGGGTGGCCAGGCGGTTGCCCTCCAGGCTGAGGACAGTGAGGTTGAGGAGACCAGTGAAGATGTCGGGGGCCAGGCTGCCCAGGGCATTGTGCTGCAGCTGCAGCCGCCGCAGCCCCCCCAGCCCGGTGAAGATGCCAGGTGGCAGCTCCTCCAGCTGGTTACCATCCAGATGGAGCTCAGTCAGCTGGCCAAGTGCCCTGAAAGCGCTGGGGGACACCCGCACCAGGAGGTTGTCACTGAGTTTGAGGAGGCGGAGTGCGATGAGTGGGGCCAGCAGCTCCTCTGGCAGCTCAACCAGGACATTCTGCGAGAGATCCAGGGCCTGGAGCCGCCGGAGTGGGTGGAAGATGCCAGGGGGCAATGCCACAATCCTATTCCCTGGTAAGCGCAGGTCCTGCAGGTGGCATGCAGCAGTGAAGAGCCCTGGCTGCAAGGAGCTGATGGCATTGGCACCCAGGGAGAGCTTGCTGAGGCTGGTCAACCCCATCAGCACCCCAAGGCTGACTGCTGGCAAGGGGTTTCCTGACACCTCCAGCTCCATGAGGCTGGGCAGCCCCTGAAAGACGCCAGCTTCCAGCTCCTGGATGTTGTTGTTGAGGAAGACCAGCTTGGTGAGTGTGGTACTGGTGCCCAGGGCCCCCCTGCGGACGCTGCTCAGGGCTGTCTCCACAAAGAAGAGCTGTGTGGCACTGCCTGGTAGGCCCGCCGGGATCTCCCGCATCCTCTCGTCTGAGCAGAAGACTTTGGAAGTGTCGTAGCACTGGCAGGTATGGGGACAGGATGGGGACAGCCCCCTCACCAGCAGGGACCCCAGCTCCAGCAGCACGCAGATCACCAGCCTGCACTGGAGAAGGAGCCAAGCCTCACCCCCTGCCTCGAGAAGGCAGAAATCTGCACCCACAGGCAGGAATGGGGAGTGCTTCCCTCCCAGATCTCTCCTCAGGGTTTCTACCCTCTGTCTCAGCCTGCCCTACTACAGCCAGAGTCGTACCACCCTCACCAAAGATCCCCACATCCTGCAGAGCAATGACTGAGGTGAGATCCATGTGTGTCTGTGGGAGGAAACAGTCTTGGTGGAACCTGTAACCTCATGAGATGTCTCCAAGGGCACAAAGCCAGGCTCTGGGGCAGGGGAGCATGTGCTACACACAGTGAGTGATGGGGACGAAGCTGCAGGGCTGCTCTGCGCTCAGGGGCAACAGGAGTGGGCTCCACCAGTTGTATTTCCAATTGCCTGTCATGTACTTCTTTTGCCACAAGCAACCAGAGCAGGATCAAACATGCCCAAGGGATATTCAGCCTGACTAATTGCCTGTTCCCAGCCCATGGGAGGCACTTTTTGAGGCAGTAACCTCCAGACCTCTGCCAGTCCTTCCTTACTTGGGATACCTGCCAGTGCTGCCTCATGATGGGGGATGTTGCCCACCCCACAGTAATGCCCACCTGCAGACACCCCTCATCCGTGGGGCTATCCTGGACTTACACCGACACTTGAGAGCAGAGCTGGGCTTGGCGTTTCCTTTCCACCACCTCACTTGTTTTCACCAGAGCCAACAGTGGCTCCCACCCATCCCAGGCCCCCCAGACTACCCAAGCACTGTAGCCCCCACCACTTACCGAATGTGGCATCGTGGAGATGGTCACCAAACCTGTGGTAGGTTTGCAGGGATGCCGCTAGCTGAGATGGAACAGTGTTTTCTGGGGTGGATGGAAAGCCAGCCGACAAGCTGTTCCTGCTGGGGCGGAGCTGCCCCTCACTGCTTATCGGCAACAACAACCCGTGTCCTTGGAACACTTTGAAAAATAACCCAGTCCCAGAGGACTGGAGGTGAGGCCAGAGGCAGCCACCCATGAGCATCCTGGCAAGGAAGTGGGGTCTTGGCCCTGGACATCCACTCGCCCAGGGATAGTGGCAGGGGGGCACCAGTTCCACACTGAGGTCAGCAAGCTTGCTTCCAGAAACCCCCTAGGAGAGCCCCGGGGCTTTATTAAATCTCACTAGGAAATTATGCTAGAAGCATCTGTGCCACAAGAAAGGGGACGCAGCACAGCTTAGCAAGGCAAATGAAGGTTGAATTTGATCATGTTAGAAGTCTTTTCCAACCTTAATGATTCCATGATTCCATGGGGAGGGGACCACTAGGGGACCATTGTGGTGATAACAGGTGTTTTGCATCCCAGCCGGCAGTGGAATGGCAAGGGCCCATGGACCAGCTGGACCCACTAGAAGTTTCAACCTGCCTGGGGGAGCAGCACACACTACCATAAGGGCTGCATTTCAAGGGCCTGTATTGTAACAGGACGGTGTGGCAGTGGCCATGGAGACACCCCCAGGGTCAGGAGGGGGGACACTTTACTGCTGCCCTGATGGAGCAGATGGTGATACACAGAAAAACTCAGCTAACACAGTCCCACAGCAGCCAGCTCTAAAGGGAGCCAAGCAAGCTCCTCCCCAACCCAGCGGTGGATTGCACAGGACACAGTCAGTGTCTCCATTGAGAAGTTCGCTGTGGTGTCAGCTCACTCTCCAAAAGCCATCTGCTGCTGCTGGATGGCTGAGCAATCCACTGTAACCAGCAATGCACTAAACCCAGTCCCACCAGCCTGTACAGGCTTTCTCTCAACACTATAAAACTCTCTTAGGAGTGGAAATCAAGCACAGCCCCTTTCCCTGCTGGGCCATTCCCCTGCTGCACACTATGAAGGAGTAAATAAACAGTTCTGGCACTGAGGGTGGACAAAGGCACTTTAATGGAGAGGTCACACATCAGCACCCAATGGCCCCATGACACAGTCCTGTGTCCCCTGTTGCCATGCAGGACCCAGCTCAGAGGAATGACCCATCATGTGCACCAGCGTAGAGCTGCTTGTGCCAGCACTACCTCCTGAGGTGCTGTGAGCAGCCAGCACTATGGCTGTGAGTGTGATCCTTGTCCCATGGCAGCAATCCTCAGGCAGCCTGATGCCACTGCAGCACACACAAAGGTGAGCTGGGCTCCTCTGTGGCTGTGCTACAGTTGGATGCAGGTGCTGGGGCACCCATTTGTGAATTGCAGAGCAGCTAGTGCTTGCTGACCCCCCCCCAGTGTGTGCTGCCAGCATTCCCACAGCCCAAGGGCTGTGAACAGGCAGGGGGACTGGGCACATACAGGAGGGCACTCAGGAGAGGAAGAAGAGCATAAAGCTTTGCCAAGCAGAACAGGAACAGGCTACTTGCCAGCTGGTGAAGGATGCGTGAGGGTATTGAGGACCAGGGATGGGCTGCAGCAGGAGCAGCCCCAACATGCTCCAGGTGCCCAGGGCCACAAGCACAGGGGCCTCTCCCAGCCCCTGCAGACACTTCACACCCATCGTCTCACTCCTCTAACTCCCCCTGCAGCAGGTTCAGTGCAAGCCCCTCAGCACCCCATGGTCCTGAGGCAGGGGGCTGCAGGCAGGGACACGGACACGGCACGGTCAGCACCAGCGTGCAGTGAGGGCTGGGGGGCTGCCCCTACGCCCCCTGATGCCAGCACACTTCCCCATGACTCTCCTGGCTGGAAGTGCAGGAGGGCTGCAGGAGGATGCCGGGAGCAGGGTGCCGGCTATGCTCTGGCGTACCCTGCCTGCAGGCAGGGAGGGCAGCTGGGACGCGGCTGAGACACTCAGGGTGTATCAGTCTGTCAGCAGCCCAACCCCGCGGGGAGCCTTGCCCGGGCACAGGCGAGTGACAGCAGAAGGACACGGAGCTCTCCCGGGGCGAAGGTGCTCGCTCGGCACGGTCTGACGGCTCACACTGCCTGTCCAGGCAGGGGCAGGGGGAAGGCAAGGCAGGGGCAGAGGATGGGGAAGAGGGGCTGGGCAGGTGTGAGGGCAGCAGGCAACACGAGAGCAGAAGCACTGCAGGGAAGGATGCAAGCTGAATGATGGGGAGGTCCTGTTATTTAGGGTAAGCACCATCATTATCCCTGGCCCAAGGGATCCGTCTCAGCACCTCTCACCCCAGTTGCCTGATCCTGGGCAGGGAATGAGCACAGAGGCTGCACTGGAGGCAGGAGGGGCTGGGGATAGAGGGCAGCCACAGGAGATCACCCAGGGGGATGTCCTGCTGCAGAGCAGGGACAGGGCAAAGCAGAGCAGGACAGCGGTCAGTACATGCAGCACACAGGGTGATGCTGTCCCATCCCAGTCAGCAAGGGCAGCTGATGCAGAGTCACTGTCATGTCCCTTGGCCCCACAGAGAGGGGATGCCACACAAGCACCTCTCCCCCCAGGGTCTGTCAGACATTCAGGCTTCATTCGGCGCCTTCATCCTCATAAGCACGACGTGGCTCTTCTTCCTACAGCCGTAGACCACCAATGCCACCAGAGCAGCAAGCAGGGCCACACACACCAGCACAATGACTGCCACCACTACCCCGCTCTGTATGCGTGTCAGCCCAAACTGCCCTCTCTCCTCCTCCTCCTTCTCCCTCTCCTCCTCCACCCATGGGGAGATTGGCAGCCCCGCAGGGGGCTCCATCCAGGCGCCCTCTGGTGATGCTGCCTCAGAGCTGTGAGCAGGAAGCTGGGTGCTGGGATGGGGGGAGGCAGTGGGGGAATGGGTGGTGAGGAACTGGTCCCGTGGCAGCTCAGCGATGGGGGTGCCCAGCAGAGCAGGAGGCTGGGCACACAGCGGGGGTGTCTCACCCACCTTGTGGGGGTTGTCTACTAGCCAGCCCTGCAGGGGCAGGATGCCCTTGTCACAGCACCAGGAGTTGTTGTGCAGCCTCACCTCTCGCAGGGTAGTCAGGGGGGAGAAGATGCCAGCAGGCAGGTACTCCAGGCCATTGAAATGCAGCTGCAGGTGTTGCAGACCAGGGGTGGCCCTGAAGAGGCCCCGCGGCAGTGCCTGCAGCTGGTTGTGGTGCAGGGAGATGTTCTGCAGCTTGGGCAGCCCCTCCAGCATCCGGGCATCCAGGCGGCGCAGGGCATTGGAGTGCAGCGACAGCTCCAGCAGCTCCCCCAAGCCCTGGAAAGCCCCCGGTGCCACCGACCGCAGCCGGTTCTTGCTGAGAACCAGGAGCTGCAGCTGGGTGAGATTGCTGAAGACGGCAGTAGGGAGGCTGGAAAGCTCATTCTCGTAGAGCCACAGCTCCCGCAGGTTGGGCATGGGCCCAAAGGCACTGGGGGAGATATCCCGCAGGCGGTTGACATGCAGGGTGATCTTGGCAAGAGAGTGCAGGGGCAAGAAGATGCCACTCGGCAGAGTGGTGAGAAGGTTATTGGACAGGTAGAGCTTCTGCAGGTTGCTGTTGTGCACAAAGAGCTCCGGGGACAGTGTCTCCAGCTGGTTCTGGTGCAGCCCCAGCTCCTGTAGCTCTGGCAGCCCATCAAAGGTTCCTGCTGGGATCTGCCGGAGCCGGTTCTCATAGAGCCGCAGCACCTGCAGCCGTGCCAGCCGCTCGAAGGCCCGGGGCGGCAGGCAGTCGATGTTGTTCCTCGCCAGGTTGAGCTTGGTGAGGCTGGTGAGCTGGTCGAACACCCCCTCCTGCAGCTCCTGCAGGTTGTTCCCGTGCAGCTGCAGCTCCTTAAGGTTGCTTAGGTGGGTGAAGTGGGAAGGCTCAACCTGGAGGATCTGGTTACTGGAGAGGAGTAGAGACTCCAGCTTGTCCAGAGGTTCAAAGACCTGCACAGGGAGCTCCTGCAACTTGTTGCTGGCCAGGCTGAGATAGCGCAGGTCAGGCAGGTGCTGGAAGGCCCCGGGGCTTATGTGGGACAGGTTGTTCTTCTCGATGCGCAGCCCAATGAGCAGGGAGGCGTTGCTGAAGGACGCGTCACCCAGCTTGGTGATGCGCGTGTTGATGATCTGAAGGGTCATGGCATTCTCAGGGATGGGGATGGGGACCGTGGTGATGTTGGCACCAGAGCATTCCACCTGGCCACTGCGGACACACTGGCACTGCTCTGGGCACTGGGCACTGGCCAGCTGGATGCCCACCAGCAGCAGTAGCCACCACTGCCAATCTCCCTGCTCCATTGGGCCTGCAAAAACAAAGGTGGGGGGTTCAGCCCCTGCAATTTCCCAGCTCCCAAGACCACTGCCAGGGAGCTGGGGGGTTCTTTGTCCCTGGAAAAAGCCACCAAGTCTGTGGCCATGCTGTCCCCAGCATGGCAGTGAGGCAGAGGAGAGCAGGTGAGGAAGGTTGGGAGCAGGCAGGGCTTGGCACAGCCCAAGCAGGAGTGCAAAGTGAGACAGGGCTGGGGGCCACAGTGCCTGGCTGCCATACCATGGCTATTAGCCACATCCTTGGCATCCTACCTCTCCTGGCTCCTTTGGCAGCCGGGAGCATGGTTTCATGTTTTACGGAGTGTGATGAGCTGCTACCAGCAGCACTGGCCTCTTGGCATGACCAAACAACCCAGACCTTCACTAGATCCAGCCTAGGGCATCTGCAGCCACACAGGACCCAGGGTGCTGGGTGCTCCCCCCAGCATCCATGAGTACCCTTCCAGCTCTGCCTTGGCAGCGAGCAGCTCTGAGCGCCTGTTGCAGAGCCAAGAGCAGTGCCAGCACCCAACACCCAGACATGCTTTAGCTCCAGTCCTGCAGCAAGGGTCAACAGGACCCTTGCCAGCTCCTCAGCACAGGCTAGGTACAGGGGTGGCCCTCTTTTCACCCCATTCCCAGCAGAAAGTTTCAACCTTGGCTGATTTTTGCTGTGAGAACAAGGTGTCTGTTTGTGGGCACCTTTTGCAGGCTGGTCTCAGGGGCGGTGCTTAGGGAAGCAAGGGCTTTACAATGAAGTTTTCCATTCCCCCACAAGCACAGACACCATGGACACCCTCTCCTCCCTCCCTAGATTAAAGGAGCAGCCTTGTGCCAGGCTGGCACAGAGCAGCTCCCCTCTAACAGCTTTGAGGGCACAAGAGAGGGAAAAAGTCTTCAGCTCCAAGCACAGCTCAGCCAAACAGGCGAGTCCAGCAGCACAGGGGTGTGGCCACACTGCCCCAGCTGGCACAGCACCCCAGGGTGCTGGAGCACAGCCCCTGCCCCCCTCCCTGCACTCCCTCCAAGGAACATGCTTTCTCTCAGGCAGGGAGGGAGGAACCCTCCATAAGCCAGAAGAGTTTATGTTTCCCATATGGAAACACTCTGCATCCAAGAACAGCTTTGTTTATAGTGAGCCATTTATAAACTTCCCCAAAGGCTCAGCACATCAAAAACTGGGCTCATGTCACTCTCTGGTAATGCAGAGCAGAGAGCATCCATACTGGAGAGATCTTCAGGAAAGACAGCTGGAAACAATTGATCTCCCTTTTTCTTCTAGGGGCAAAAAATGTACAGACCAAGAGGCTGAATATTCCCTACTGCTCAGCCCCTCAGCATCCCACTGCTCCTAACATTAGCCCCCCAAAATGTTACTTTGCCTCCCTTAATTTTCTCTATTCGTCATTATTTGGGGTACATTGCCCATGTAACTCTCTCAGCTCCCACAGTGTCTAAGTGGTCTCCCTTTTTTTGGAGAAGCCTTGCAAGATAAACATCTCCATCAAATTAAAAGGTGCTGAACATGCAGATCCCACCAATGCACCACCAACCCTTGGAGCTGCCCTGGCAGTCACCCAGACCCGGGGCTGCTAGCAGAGAGGAGACTTACCCGAGTGTCCTGCAGCCACGAACGCCGAGTGAGCACAGCTCTGTGCTGGCAAGAGAGCTGAGTGTGGTTCATGCTTCCCCTCCCAGTATATAACCCGTCCAAATCAATGAATCAGCCCAGGGGCAGTGTTGAGTTAGGGAAAGCGCCGGAGCAGAGCTGCTTCCAACTCCTATTTCCTCAGTAGAGCAAGCATCTCAAGGATGGAGTTTCCCTCTCCTGAACCCCAGTCCTCTTCTTTGAAGACAAGAAGACAGCCCCATGAACATGCTGCTCATGTCAGCCAGTGTAGCAGCTTGCCCCCAGGAAACCCCCTGGTCCCCGGTGGGATAGCTGTGTGCCCTTCACTGGTACTCTTCACACCAGAGCTGCTCCATGGCATCACCTCGGCCCACACATAGCAGTTGTCTCCCCATCTATGGCTCCTGCAAGTGTCAGGACCTCCTGCCCAGGGCTGCTGCCACAGGCAGACTCCCAGTACACTGACCCTGCCCATGCCACAGCTCTCATTCCCCCCTACAGCCACAGGTACAAACAGGCCAGGAACCCCTGAGCACACACTCCAGGTTCTGTCCCTGTGAGCACCTCAACCAGCCCTGCCAGGAAGCAGGCACCACGCCAGGGCCAGTGGCTGTGCAGGTGCCAGCCAGGGGTAAGGCTGCTTCAGAGAGCCCTCAGCCCAACCCAGAGCACTTCCCACTAGCCATGAGGAACACCTGGGCACTTAGGAATATACATTGCAGGCATCCCTGCAACTCCAGAGCAGCACACACTGCCATCTCCCAGGGGCTGCCTCTGCTCTGAACCCTCAGCAGTCCCGACACAGAGGTGATGGAACCTGGCACACAGGGGTGTTTGTGAAGCATCCAAGCCATCCCATCCACTTGTTCAGGGGCACCTGATGCCATCCCTACCCTTCCCCCTCCAGCCCACATGGGTACATGAGGGTGCCCTTGGTCCCCACCACCTAGGCCAGGTCTCCCCACCTTGCCCACCTCTCCAGGGCAGTCCCAGTCCAGCAGCTAACAGGAGCGGATATTCTGGAGAAAGCAGCTAAGGAGAGTCAGCATACGTGGCCCCTTTGGGCTTCCTGGAGCCAGAGCAGTCCCATGCTAACCACGGGGCAGCTGGAACTTGCCTGACCACATCTAATCCTGTCTGAGCCCACCCATGTTTCCTCAGTTGCAGCAGCCGCTGCTCAGGTCCCAGCTGGTGCTGACAAGCTGCTCAAGATGGGAACAGCATGGCGCTGCTGCCAGAGAAGGGGGAGGAAGGCGGCCTCCATCCCCACACCGCAGCATGTCATGCTGTGAGGAGTGGGAGGGTGCAGGGCAGTGGAAGGGACAGCGATCCTGTTCAGAGAGGGGACTAGACCCGGATAAACAGAAAACTGCAAGGATGGAGAGCAGAGTTCCCAGTCTTGGAGGGAGGAGACCGGGATCGTGGGAAGATGGTAGGGAGTGGGACCTCAGCCAGAGGCAACTGCGACGACTGCCATAGCCCTGGCTGCCATAGGTCATGCTGGATGGCCATGGACCCCTTCCCGGCTGGAGACTGAGCACAGAGGCTGAAACAACTCCCTGGCCGTGCTCCCTGCCTGCTCCGGAGCAAAACCCAGACATTTCGGCACAGAGAAAGGGCATTTCAAAAACACCACCCCCCAAGTGCTCTAGCTCACACTCTATTGACACAGCAGATTTTCCCAGAACTATGATTCCCAAAATAATCTCCCCGCTTCCTTGACAGCAGTGCAGCTGGAGGTCAATGCTTGGGAGCTGCCCACTCCCTGCAGTCCAGGCATGAGTGGGGCTCTGGCGGCCTTATCGCAGCCTTATCGGGCTCTGTCTGCCCACTGCCAGCACTGCTGGGCTCCTGCCCACTCTGACTCACCCAGAAGCACACAGTTTTTCAGCAAGGCAACACAAACCAAATCCCAGCACTTCCGATGCCCAAGCCCAATTTGACAGAGGAATGTCAGATTCATCTCCTTCCAAGCAGTGCTGCCCCAGGGATTCAGTGGTGGGTAACCTCAAACACCCTGTCCCAAGATGGGGGTGATCAGATTATGGTCCCTACTGCCACGCAGAGTGCCCAGAGTTTTGGAGAAGTCCAGTTAACAGCCCTAACAAAAACCCACCAGCCTCTATCTGGGCCTGGGGAATGTGGCTCTGGCTGGGAAGCATGACTTATTTTCAAGACATTCCTAAAAAGAAAGGCACAAGCCTGTGCACAAGTCCTGCAGCCACTCCCACTCCAGGAGGTGAGCGCATGAGAGCTTGCCCCAGGCTACTCACAAGACAGAGAAGCAGAGGGTGTGAGAACAGCACAGACACACCCCACACATCTAGAGGGGAGAGGAAGCTTGGGAGACAACATAAGGATGTGACTGAGGGTGAGATTAGCATTTTGCAGGGGGAGGCTACTCCACATATCCACACAGCACTGGATGGAGTGAAGCAAGTCTCATGCTGGGGGAAAGCCCCATTCCAGCATTGCTCTGCAGACCTTTCCCACCTCCAGCCACACCAGCCAGAGGCTGAACTCCCCTGACCAAGCTTGGGATGCTGTGGAGCCACTGCCAAATCCCTGGACCTCCAAGGAGGCTACGGAGCCCCAGAAGAGCAGTGTCACTTATTACTAGGGAGGTCTGCCTTGCTACAGGACAGCATGCCAGTCCTGTGTCTGTCTGTCCATGCTGACATTGCTCCAGCACATCTCCACGGCGAGGGTGGCGGATGCGGCAAAGCCGAGCAGCTCTGAATCACCGAGGGACTCAAGACTGCTTGGAAAAATTCATGTAATCGCTAAAATTAGTAGCTTGTGGGCTTGGCTGGGAGAGCGCATTGTTCATCTGCCAAGCAGCTGAGCACACTCATCCAGTCCCCACAGCCCCCGCTCCCCCATCAGCCCCTGCTCCCTGCACACCTCTAGCTCCTGGATGAATTGGCACCCTTGGTGGGATGGAACATCCCCAGGCCCCACCACCTCCCACAGTGCAGTGCTGGGATCCCCCCAGGTTACTTTACACTGCTGCAAAGTGTCAGCCCTGTTACAAGAAATCCCCATGTTGGCCCCTGGTGCTCACAGAGCTGGCCTGGGGCAGCAGGCCAAATTCTGCTGAAGTGGAGGAGAGGGTGGAGGGCTGGGCTAGGGGCCACGGAGGGGATCCTTCCCATGTTCCAGCATAGTGGAACACCTCTGGGTCTGAGCCCTGCAGCAGGACCCACAGGCTCAAGCCAGAGCTGAGGGGTGAGGAAAGGGGCATCAGTCCCTCAGGGACTGGTGCTCTGGCCCCCCTACCCCTTAGAGAAGCACCAGTAGCCCCTACCTCACCCTGTGCCCACCCTAATCCCTTGAGGAACCCAAACCAGAGAGCTCCTCAATAGAGGCAATGATCCAACCCCAGTGGCATGTTCAGCCTTCTGCTCAGGGAATGCAGGGCCAGATGATGCCCTCTCTGCATCTGCCCCAAGGGCTGGGGACATCCTGCCTTCCCTGGGAAAGTGTTTATGCAAAATGGGAGCTTTGGGAGGGAGTAGCAGCCCTGGTCCCTCCAGGATGGTCACAGGGATGGCCATCAGGATAACCTCCATCCAACCACCAGCATCAGGCACACCACAACCCTCCTGGAGCTCAAGGGAAATGGTATTTAGGATCTCAGCACTAGTGGGGCTCACCCCACCAGCAGAACCATCTCCTCCAGGCCCTGGCCCGAGCGAGAGCAGAATCACGCAGGGCTTGGCGCAGGCTCAGGGCAGCACTAGGCTGGAAGGAATGTGGGGCTCAAAGCCAAGTCTGCCTGGAGAGATAATCCGAAGTGGAAAGAACTTGTCCGATAGGCTCTGGGAGAGGGGGGAAGGACCGGCTGGAGCAGGAGGCGATGGTGTGGGGCTCGTGCACTGTGAGGTGTTTGCTGGACCAGCTTCACTTTATTATCCATCTCTGTAAAGCCCCTCCAGGCACCAGCAAGGGTCCCAGGGACCTCTTCCCAACATCCGTAGGGGGAAGGGACCCTATCTCTCCCCAGGGGAAGACAGCAGAGGAGCGTTCAGCAGGCTGCAGAACTGCTGCCAGCCATCACTGGCTCTCTGCCCCAAGCTTTTTCCACCGAGAGAGACATAAAGATACAGCTGGAAGCCTGGCACATCAGTCCTACAGCAGAGATTGCACAAGAGAGGCTGAGCCCAGTGGGGGAGCAGTAGGGGATGGCTCTGGGTGCTGCTGGAACAGCAGCCCCTCACCCTAAAGTGAAGTGGGACTGGCACCCTATGGCCCAAGCAAGAGGCTGTGCCAGGGTTTATCCATTCATAAACACCCAGAAGAGAAGGGAATGGGGATCCAGACCTTGGTTACAAAAATGGAAGCATGACACCTCCTTAGCTTGTCCGTTCCTAGAAGGGACAAAGCAGGAGCTTCAGGGCCCCTGACTCTTGTGAGAGTCTGTAAACACTCACAGCTCCAGCCTTGTCCAGAGGGTATGTGCCTTTGGCTGCATCTCCTCCCCGCTCCTCTGTTATCCATAGGAAATGCTCCGATATCAGGGCTGCCGAATCAGCAGTCCCAGGCAAGACCTGCTGGTCAAAGGCCTGGAGGAGACACAGTCAATGTTCCGTAATGTCAGGCAGGAATTCCCAGGGCTCCTGCCTCTAAGCCAGCAGTCACACGAACCCCTAAAGCACTGCTGAGTGACTTCTCCAAGCACACCTGCCATCACCCAGCTTCTCTTTGTCACCAGGAGAGGGAAGATCCAAGGTGCAGGCTCTGATCCTGCTGCTGAGTGCTGGAGGGCTGAGCTGCATTTCCCAGGCAACTGCCTGAGCTCACTGCCCTCTGCAAGCAGTGGCAAGGGCCCTCCAGCAGTTCCTGGGCTCACAGGAACAGAGGTGAGATGGAAAGGACAGGGACACCAGGGACACAAGCAAAGGATGGCTTAGAAGGATCCTGCAGTGGCTGGGAAACAGGCAGAGCTGCCAGCACTTAAGACAAGCAAAGCAGAATGGCTTTTGTAGTGACATCAGGCTGGAAACACAGTGCATACTCCCATGA